ACATAATTTTTGGTAATTAAGTAGTAAGACGGCTAATAATTCAGTAGGACATGAAATGAGGTCTCAATTTGTAATGTGTCATCCGAAGGATCCGAAACGTTCACTTTAAACTGCTTGGCGAGGGAGAAGTTGTTACCTATTTTTCAGAGACTTAGTGCCGTTGCGGCCGACAATCGAACTCACAACCTACCGATCACGGAGCGAGCGCTCTGTCTACTGAGCTACCGTTACGCGGCTAGATGATCATCAAATAATGTACAGTAACTCACAATATCAAAGTAAAAAAGTTCGCTTTGTCTCAGACTGATGATACAATTATGCATTACTTTCATCAAATAATGTCTTAACGTCACAATATCATTGTAAAAAAGTTGTCCATCATCAGCAAAAGTAGCAGGATATTTAACTGGTAAATTTGATATTAATTATGTGCTTAAAAATCATGATCACATATTACAATATTGACAAGTTTTTTTAAAAGTAGTTATTTGCTTTGCAACTAATTTGTATTGTTCGCAAAGATTTTTAGCGAGGATTTAATTGATTCCATTATTAAAGGTTTGCTAATGATATAAAATTAATGAGAAAGTATATACATAATTGCAATAGCTTATTTAGTGAGCATTTTGAAATCAGTAAGTAAGATGTCACTCGAAAAAAAATATAAACTTCAATTTTATAAGGTGAAAATGCTTGACAAAACAGTTCTCGCTAAAATTTCCACTTATACGGTTTTAATTATGTGCATTAAAATCACATATTACAATATTGACGAATTTTTAAAAGTAGTTATTTGTTTTGCTCCTAATTTGTATTATTCTTAAAGATATTTGAGCTTTTTTCATTGATTCCATTCTTAAAAGTTTACCTAATGATATAATATTCAAGAGAAAGTATACCTCTGATGTTTACTGTGTTTGCTCTGCTTCTATTCTGTATTGTAAAATGGACTTTCAAGCTTCAGTACTGTTCGTTGTCTCCATATATTTCATTGATCGATACGTCAGGCCTAGTTATAGGACAATCAATTTTCTAACACCCTGAAAAGATGGCCTGTTTAGGAACTTAATTAAATGCTTCTCCATTACATTACTTTAATTGATAATGTCTAGAACACAAATATCCATTGGTAATATCGATAGTGTCTTGCATACGCTTAAAATGTTTTTTTTTCTACTCTACAGATGCTTATTATGTGAAATTATTGTTTTCAAAACTTTTATGAATAAATTTCACGAGAAATAATATTTAGAATTTTGCACTTAAAAGTCAGTAAGGAATATTTCTGATTAATTAAAAAAAAAAACCACTGGAATGTATGTACATTTTTTGTTTTCAGTATAGACACAACTTTTCCTTAAAAAATATAATTATTATAACATGCTTTTCATATACGACCTTGAAATAAATTTAATGATCTCCTACAGAGAAATCCTTTTCATCTCTGAAAATATTTACTGTGTCGTTTTTGATCAACGTTAGTGATAATAAATTTCTTAATTATTTCGCTCTTTAATTCCAAAATTTAAAATAAATTTCTGAGCACCGTCCAATTATTAAATCAATTACGACATATTAGATCTAATGCGTACTTCCCTCCAATGCTCTTTGATTAATATGAATTCAATATTGCCCTAGGCAAACTTTGCATGGGATGTATGAAAATGATTATTGTTATTTTCTTAAAGAGCTTCTACGAAGAATCCCTCAGGCTATTAATTTAGCCGTGTAGGTCCATGCAATACTTCTTTAATCCCTGTTATACAAGGTCATATCTTCCTAAATACTAGTAATACAAGGTCATATCTCCATTCATTAGATAAAATGCTCCGCTCTTAATAAGAGTAGAAGCAATAAAATACTGATATTTTGTTCCTTAGGGTGAAACCTTTATATAAAGCATACAGAATGATGTCTGGATTTATTAAAGTTGTCGAAGTGTAAAATTTTCCTTACTTCTGAAAATCCACATTTTTTAAGTATTTATCCTTTTTCACCGATAAATGATAGTTTCAAATCATCTTGAAAAAAAATTTAAGAGTCTGAAAAAAAACCTATTCTTTGATGTGGATAACACATGTATATCTCTGCGTGTGGAAACTACGAGGAAAAACTTTATCAGGTTTCATAGAGCGTGGCTATGGATTGTTGTTAAACTTGTAAGTTTAATATGATAGGGTATCTTCTATTGTCCTGAATTAATTGTATTGAAAATAAAATATTTGACTCCGCAGTCAAAGATAGGTTAGGAGATAGGTTAGAACACAACAAATGATATAATTAAGAGATTTAAAATTTTTAAGGTTCATGGACACTTTGATAAGAGAGATAACTCTTAATAACATAAATGTATATTATTCCTTTATAGATTTTCCAAGCTGAAATGTTGTTTTTGTCCAATTTTGCCCCGCAAGCCATGCTATAATTGTTTAAATTTTACTTATAAAATACATTTCTTTTGGAAAATCATTAAGATTCAAGCTACATTTTATATGACTGAGCAGAGGGTTTATGAACCTTAAGACAGAATTCAAACCAAAATATTTTTGAAACTTAAAACAATCGTTACATGTATAAATAATTTGAAAAAAAAATGAATTTAAACATTGTAATTGCAACCCTTGGTATCATCAACTTAATTGTCAGGAGCTTCACATAGTTGAAACAAAATTTAACATTAATTTCTACTATGCTCTTGCATATCGAATCGGTTGAAAATCTTAAAATACATGTTGTTCTTCTGAAAGACTACGAAAATATGTTTTTCGGGTATAAATATTTGTTTATTTTAAAAAAAGTTATTTATTTCGATATATATGACAAAAGATTAAAGCATAACTTCCAGTCTATGCTAGCGTGTTTTCTCACGATGTCAGTAACTAAAAAAATTGCTTCTTCTCAAATTAGTTTTTTTTTCATATTATGGACAGTCCAATTATTATTTTTCTTCAAAATTATTTTTTTCTTAAGATTAGTAAGTCTTGTTTTTAAAGCTGCCAGAAAGGTACATAAATGGTGCACAAACCTCTTTATGGTCTGCAGTTTATTGCTTTCGTTTGGAGACGAATTAATTTTGAAGGCAAAGGTTGATAAAACACGGTCAAACCTTTACTTTTTACATTTTCGATGGAGTTGCTAAAGTTGCTTTGTCGTTTTTCTTTCTTTTCTTAAATCTATTATTGACATATTCAACGTATAATTAAGGAATGTTTTGTCATTTTTTTTTTCTTTTAAAAATCTATTTTAAGTTGTTCTGAAAAAGAATATACAAGACTCAGATCTTATCTTCTTATTTCTCAGATTCTGTGTATGCTGTGTTATAATGAACGGAGTATCGGTCCGACACTAATTTATCCATAATTGGACCATAACAGGCTTCTTCAAAATACAGCTATATAGGGAATATGGATTCTGCATAGCTATAAGTCAAACAAAGGAGTTAAGAGAAATAGAGAATAATGAGAAAATTTTAACGTGAAGAGCTTCTGACGAGAAACCTTTTCCATCACTTACAAACTAATAACTAGACATATTTTTCGCCCTTATTGGTTAAATCTGGGGTGTTTATGTTGTGTTTTTTCGTAATTAAATAGGTAGGCATGATATACTGTAATGCTACTTCTGTGGATTTCATACATAAACAAAGTATTTTTGTTTTATTATTCTTGTGTAAAAATTTTACATATGTTTTACCCATGGAGTTTTTAGAGAGTAGCTCTGCAGTATTCCAAACACCTCAAAAATGGAGGGTATAAAAATGTTAAAGTACTTTTTTTTTTATTTTGAAGTGGCAAACATTGCTGTTGGAATTATATTGTATTGATTCTTTATGCAGGGAGAAAAAAAATGTATTAACATTGAGTTATTAATTTTTGAAGAAGTACTCCCGTAACTGTAAGGCTATGTGCAAACACCGTATGCTATTCTATTTGTTTGCACATATCCCTACTGCCGTAAGATTTCTTCATTCAGACAGAATGATTCAATGTTAAATATTTACATGCAGCTTAATTTCATTATGCAATCCATTGGTAGTCTACAAAATTTAAATAAGTGACATAATATTAAAAAATGAATTTTGGAATTAAGGTTCAGAAAGGGGTTCAACATCGACAATATAATGCCCAATAATGAAAATAGGTTACTGATAGACTAACGAGGAAAATTGCTTTTTGAAACATATATGTGACGGGATATTTCATTTTTAAAGCTCTTGTCAATGTTTGCTTCCATTCTGTTCCTAGCTATTATTAAGAGCGTAAAGCATATATTTCCCAATATAAAATTTCTGATTTTCATGTTTTCGCATTTTGATAAGTAAGGAGACTTTTTTGAAATAAAGGCAGTCATCACAAAATATTTTTTGCCAAATTAAAAAAAAACCAAACTTCCACCTGAGTTAGCATATATCCTCATGGTGTCTAAATTTTATGTCATTATATGTAAAAACTCTCATGAAAGAACACGAAATAAAACCTGTACATTTCTACCTTAATCATTTCTTAACTGTTTTATTTTTTTTTTTTTATAATTTTCCATCTATTTCTTGAGAACAAATGTGACATCAATTTAAAACAAAAGAAAAACTATTTAAAAAATAATTATCGCCTTTAATTGTCTAAACAACGGGTCAAAATCATACTATAAGAGAGAATCTTTTTCTAGTTTTATTTTAACTACATGAAGAGGAAAAATCTTGCTGTGGTCTTTCACTAAAATTTTATATATCGAAGACTGCAATTGCTTTAAAACGGTATCTACTGTGCAGTGAACACGAAAAAGACACCAATGCACAAAGCAATATATATATATAAAAAATGAAAATGGATTAATTTTTGAAATACATTTTTCTTATTTTGACTTATAAACTTAACAAATATCTCGGACTTAGATTTTGATTAACATACAGATATAAGTTCTATGATACTTAGTGGAGGATTTGTCAATCTAGAAATTAGATGTGTTAATGAATATCTGTTTATTTTTGTATTTCTTTTCAGTTGAGGGACGTCTCAAGTATCATGAACGGAAACATAACTTCAAATGCAACTTGTAAGTACAATTCAAAATTTATATCTTATTAAAAAAAATTGTAAAGGTATAATTGATATTGCTTTCATAAGGTAGGAAACTATCATTTCAGTTAATCCACCGGAAATGCCAATATGGGGATTCTGGGTAAAACATGTGGCGACTCCTATCGTCACGACTGTCGGGCTGACCGGGAATTTGTTGTCGTTCTTAGTGATGGGGTGTTCAAAGAGACTCTGTAAGAAATCCTACAGTCAGCTCCTGTGCCTGCTCGCCGTATTTGACAGCCTTAATCTGATAATTAATCAAGTGGAACTGATAGACGAGATGGTAGTCTATAAATCCGGACATCAGAATAGCTTCTATGTGGACTTTCCTAATAGCGCCTGTAAGATCTACAATTTCTTAAAACATGTCTTCCTCCTGATCTCGTCCTGGTTGGTGGTTTGTCTGTCTGTAGAGAGGGTCCAAGCTGTGTGTTTCCCCTTCAGAAGAACTTTCATTCGAAAACGGTTTAGTGTCGCTATTCTCGTAACAATAACTATCATCATCCTGTCCTTGACACAAATTTTCCGGATTCTATTTATAGAAAACGTGAGAGGATATTGTATGGCGGTACAGGAGTACCTATCCCTCTATGTTTATCTTCATCAGTACGGCTATCATCTGAGTCTACTGTTCGCTTTACCCTGCGTCATTGTCCTCTCGTGTAATTTTGCGGTCATCTACCAGATTTACGTCATAAGAAAAGAGGCGGGACACGACCGTCCTAGATCTTTAGACAGTACGAGGAAGGCGACAACCATGTTACTTTTGATAGGATTTGTGTTCATTATAACCATGTTTCCTCAGTTCGTCTGTATGAGTGTCCTTCTGTATTATACAGACGAAAGCAGACGACATATTGGACGACAAATGATGCTAAACATGAGACCATATTTAGATTTATTTACTGTAGTTAGTTACACAAATTATTCCATTAACTTTGCAATATATGTCTTATGTGGCAAGTCCTTTCGTCGGGAAGTTAGGCGAATCTTTAAGCGCACCCGACGCGGAAGTTTCTTTGGAACGCGGACTCGGACAAAAGAAGAAGTACTGCGGTCATAAGGATCCGTCACGTGGTCAGTTGGGAATACATAAATACTGTGATAGTGCATGATCCTCAAGTTACGATCTCATAACATTGCATATGAAAAACAACTAATTTTGGGGCATGTTAATGGTGTGATAAAAAATATATCATGTGATACATGATTAATTAGGGCAAATGATAGTTTCTGCTGTTGATGTTGAAGAGACAATAATTTCCGTATGCCAATCAAGATTTATTGAGCTCTCATCCAGTTGGCAAGGTTGATAAATTCTGAAATTGTTTTGAAATACATATGCATATGCATCTAGAGTTAAAAATGTGAGAAAAGGAGAATAACAAAGATAGTCAATCTTTAAAAAAATCTATAAATAATAGAAACGTATTAACAGGGTATACAACCCATTGCTGTAACAAGATGATTTTAACAACCGAACTTTTTACGAAATCTGATATGTATTACCGTATAAGTAGAACTTTTAGCAAGGATTTAATTTTGGCTTAGTGAGGGTGTTGAGATCGCTAAAAATAACAGCTTTTTATTAGCAAAAGCTTCTTTATTGAGAAGTTTAAAATCGCGAACATTTTCTCTTGCTAAAAACAATTTTGAAGGTAAAATAGCTGAATTTGTGTCTTGCTAAAAACTCCACTTCTACGGTTTTTTTTTTAAAATATGATAACTGGCCTTTATCTCCAGATTTCGTAGAAAATGGAAACATAATAATTGATATTCTTCTAACATAAGTTTCTTGACATGCTGTAAGAATACATTTTATGAGAAATAGTAGTATTTACTTCATGTTAGATCTAAAGTCTATGTGATGAGTACATTTAGTGCAAATACTTTTACATATTGTATAATTTTAACTTTGTGAGATGCTAAATCTGTGCCTTGATTTTATCAAATGTCTTAAATAAAATTAATTTTCAATAAATCTCATAATTACTTGGCATATCTACATGGTTTGTTTGTTTTTGTCAAAGCTTTTACTTATTTTTCTTCAAATGAACAAACTTCAACTGTTTTTTCTCTGGTAAATATTTACGAATACGAAATTTTTACAACAGGGTTTTCTTATTAAATGATTTTGTTTTTGAGACGTACAGTAATTTTTAAATACATGTTGCATAAAATTAGCATTATCTTATCTATACATATGTTTGAAACAAACACTGTTTATCTTTAAAAATATGGTTGTTATAATTTCTTGTGATGTAAGAAAATCATTAAAATATATTTAAAATAGAAATAATGTAATAAGCGTTCGAAAGTCGATTTCATTTGGGTTTTTATATTGCTGTTATGAATCTTCATGATTAAATATACTGCATGAACTAAATTTGATATGAAAATGATATACAGATTTCATGGCAGTATCACAAAAACAAACATAATAGTTTTTACTATGTTATATAAATAAGTTTTTTGATTAGTTCACTCCATTTATATATCAACCTCTCAGAAATGCATATCTACAGAGCAATTGAGATTGATGTTCCTTTAACTATTTAAGGATTGACTTCTTTATATATTAGATAAGCCATCATAGTCATGATAAATGACGAAGAGTCATTGCATTCAAAAGAAATACAAAGCAATGCATATGTAATAAATCAATAAAATCATTGTAGACAAAATTAAATAACCTTCTCAAATTGGTGTTATATTTTCCTTAGTATTTTTCGATGGAATTTTATGATTGTTAATCCACATATGTACATGTACGAAGGTTATCCTTGACATTTTTTCATATTGGATTGGTCAATAAATAATTGTAAATTAAAATTTCTGTTATGAAAATCTAAGCTAAAATTGCATGGTTTTATTGTGTAAAATTAATTTTTTTTTCACAGTCTTAATAAGTCGTAGATTGTAGAAACTGTCTGAGATTTGTCTGTAGCCTATATAATAACCGATCGTACCTAAAGCACACCCTTCAGTATAATTAGCATAAATAAGGAAGACATGAATTCCGAATGCAAGATATTGTGAAATACTACTTTAAGATATAAGAAGATGAGGACCATAAAGCTAAAGTCATCTTGTTCGGTAAACAGTAATAACTTAATCTTATCATACACTAACTGTATTGTAAATAAAGTCATTTATAGTGCAAAGAGATTTCTTTAAACCAACTGGTTCACGCTACATGTCTATCAAAGCAACAGTAAGGATAATCTGGTAAGTCTTTAATTGCATTATTGATTTTTTTTTTGTAGATTGTTGGATTTTCCACTAAAAAAACGAACAGTGTTTAAGCTCAAATGTCCATCAAAAATTACAAATCAGGAGCAGAGCAAACACGGACATTAAATACATCAGAGGTGAGATCAGGTGCCATGGAGGAGTAAACTTCAACTTCAGTGATAATTTCTGAATGACATAAGATAGAGCGTTCATCTTTGAGACAATGTGTCATAAAAAATGACATCTCACCCACAATTAAAGACACCGAAAACGGGGGACCACAATGCTTTGAATTTGCTTGTTTTTAATATATTTCGCAGTAGAATTCTTACGAGTGCTGTGTTACTGAGTCAGGATGAAATTATCAACTTTAATGCATTATGTCGAAAACAGGAGAAAGGATAACAAAACAGACAACTCAATGCATTATATTTGTCATTTTCGTTCTTATGTCTGACACGGTTTTTTTTCTATTTGGATATCTTTTAGACTAAGACGTTATTTGTAATTTAACAACAAAGCTTAATAAATCACTATGACTTTAACCTTTTAATCGCCAACTTCACTTATTTTTGCAGCAATACACCCAATCACTTACAAAAAAATTTACTTTGTACAGAGTTAATTTCGCCCCGTGTTATTTTCCTCCTTTCACACTTCCAAACAATTTTACCTAATTATAAATTCGCCCAGTTATAGTTCTGTTTAAAAATGTATACTGTGTTCTTTGAATGCGCCCGTTTTAAATTCAACCACTGGTAACAAAAACGAAAAGGGCAAAAATATAACAGAGGTAAAACTTTTCCTGTATCCTGTATTTCTCTCATTTTGTTCGATACACAAGTGGATATTCTAGGTAAGAACAATTACTAAAACGAGGTAGATATAGACAAACAAGTTGATGAAAAAAGAACATCGAGTCTCGTTTAAAATTATAATTTCATTTGTTTTATGGCCAATACAATGCCCTTGTCACCAAATACAATTGATCAATTGAGCCAAATGTTGACGTTCTTCATACTAATTGTTGGTCCATTATTTATGCACTAAATTGACGGCAGAATTCTCCGTTATTTCCCAACTATGACAAGTATCGGATGGCGAGTGTAACCGGTCGGCAGGAGATACTCACACCTGCATGACACCTGATATCACCTATGATGTTTTCGAGGTCCTTCTTGGGTCTGACCATTTATTGTTTTGTTTATGGACTTCTGATATTGAAACTATTTCTTGTCTTCAAATCTTAGATTCATATAAGTTCATCCGAACTTTTATCTCTGTTTGACATTCACAGATATCCAAACATAAGTTTAGAAAAAGGAGACTGTAACTGTGACTATAATTTACACAACCTATATAAATAATGCAGTCATGGCAGGTTTAGACGTCTGCGTTTCTTGTTGTAACTTAAATATCACAATCTAATTAACCACTTAATATATAGTAAACAAGGTCAATTGTTTTGTGCAGATAAACTATTATCAAATGGGACTGAAAACTTGACTATTGAAAAAACTTCGAGACACAAATGCGGGTAATCTCATTAGTTTACAGCTACAAAAATTGATGATTGAATTTGTATGAGTATGATATCATTGAAAAACTTCATTTAATATGAATGTTTATGTCATTATTTATTGTCTGTACTCGTCAACTTACTAATAAAAAAACAACTTTAGATTTTTGAATTAAAATTAAAAATGCTAAATGGATTACAAGTAATTCAGCTAATATGTAATTATTAGAACTTTTTAAAGTTCATTAACAGTCTGCTAATTCATATAATTGTTTCTTTTAACTTTTATGATTTTCAAAAGGAAATATATATATTCAAAGTACAATACAATAAATCTTAACCTGAATTCGACAATATTTTTAACTTAAAGAATTTGAATAAAAATAGTAGACACTTAAGTCATTAAGAGTTATTTATCTTATCGATGTACATGTACCTTCAGATTATAATAAAATACATGATCTCTGTATAAAAACATGAAAGAGGATTAAGTCATTCCAATTCGCAGTGGTAATAAGGAAGCGTACAAAATATCCTACCTGACTAAACCAGTGCTACATTATGACGTCATAGTAGGCGAATGACTTCAATCTTAGAATACAAGTTTTCATAATATCCGTATTTACAGATGTAATTTAACTCTTGAAAATAATTAGAAACGTGAAAACATTAATAAAAATAAAATTTTATTATTTTGTTATGCTGTATCTGTTTTTGATTAAAAACTACCACCGATGACGTCATATGTGTACATCAAGAAACTTTGGATTTGATCAGAAGATATACGAAATGGAGTTTAAAAGCAAATATCGTGAATATTTCGTGAAATTCAAATGGAGTTCTGTTATCAAAACAGGTATACTAATCTATTTTCATAGATTATATTCTCTTTCGATGACATTCAGCTATGTACGCATCCCGGTGAAGAGTTGCGCCCCTTGGTAGTGGCGGTTGGCTCAAAATCTGCTGGTGTAAATATGTAGAAAATTTCCAAAGTCGTGGGTGAATTATGAAAAAAAAAATATTGGAAGACTACGGGAGGGGTATTGAACAAATAGTGATTATGTTTTGCTAGGAAAAAAGCTTATACAGACGTGAGTAGCTCGAAATACCTTTGACACTATTTCTATTGTTGAAAACTACTCATGACCTCCTGGCAACGTCGTTTCAAACGCCTATCGAATTTCATCGTATAACTTCATTTCATATGTGCTTTATTTGTGTCAATTATCGGTAAACAAATGGTCATCAGTACAGAACAGCTTTAGATAAAAAAAATTTCAGTAACACTGATAATATTGTCAATACAAAATACACAATTCCCTATATTGGTATAGTTCTGTGTATAAACAATGGCCGAAAAAGGGGACGACAAGAGGAATTTAAGTGATATGTCTAATTCATTTTCGGACATCATGAGGTCACCAAAAATACAAAGGGATGGGTCTATGTCTGAACCATCTCACATAACCACCTCCACCCCTCTGAGAGAGCTGGATCCCAAGGAATTACCACCCATTCCTTCCATGACACACCAAGTCGTAATTGTTGAGGATGACATTGCACACATTGCCACTGCTGTGAAGTTATCAATTCAGGGTGAAATTGCTGAACTAGTCAGTAAAGAAGTAGCAAAAGCCGTCCAGCCTCTCCATGAAAAAATTATAAGACTCGAAACATCAAATATTGACCTACAACTTCAATTAGACGAGCTAGAACAATACGGTCGAAGACCTCTCGTCAGAATTGCAGGAATTCCTGAAAATGATAATGAAAACACCACAGACTTCATCTTGGGTGTCACTGCTAAGGCCGGAATTCCCCTCAACCGAGATGATATCGTGACGTCGCACAGGATAGGGGCACCAAGAAACGAGCAATCGAGTCAAGGCGGGCGATCGGGACCAAGACAGATAATTGCAAGACTGCGTTCTGTCGATCTGAAATTCATGCTTGTTAAAAGCTACGAACGCTTAAAATTGAATCCAGAAACAAGCCATGTGTTGATCAACGAGGATCTCACCAAGCGTCAAGATAAACTACTATATATGTGTCGCCAGCTTTGCCGACAGCATAAAATACTACAGGCTTGGTCATCAAACGGAAAAATCCGCATCCGAGATAATACGAAAAAAACATATCTCATCAGACAGGAGGACGACCTTTGTCCGTTCGGCCACATTCCGCAGTGATAGCATCTAACCGTAAGCTTTGACATCCGTCCTTTCCTGATGTTTACCAAATGTGATTGTCTGTGTATAAATACCTATATTATATACAACGAACAGTTGTCAAACAAAATCTGCATTTTGTTTCAACAATTAAAATGTCATTATCACCTTTTTTTTCTCTTAAGCTGTTCAAAATTTGTAATAAATTTTAATATAGCCTTTAATATTTGTCTATATATATATAGATATTTTTTGCAATTCTAAACCCACAACTATGCCACCACATCTCTGCTTCTCCGTCTAGTTATACTTGGTACATACATGTACGTTGTTCTATGGGCTAAGCTCATACACAACCAGTTACACAATTTATACTGCAACTCTGTCATTAGTGGTCAACTGTTGCTTTTTCATCTTTTCCAAAATATTTCTTGTATTACCAGTCTGGTTCTAGTGTATATATTTTATTTGTTGTTTTTGTTTACATTGTGTTTATATTTCACTTATCTTTTTGTTAGAAACTATTTCATTAAATTATGTGTTCAATACTTAAGTCATGCAAACTGTGTATACATATGTCAAGTGAATAATGTAGTAGGCGAAATTTGGGCAGCTACTGACTGCGATCTTATACTTCCATACAATTATATATATATCAAAAGATAGACAATGGGTAACTCACTAGAAGAATATCGAGCTGCAGTCGGTTTATTCTACTTATCAGGTAAAGGAACACTTAAAAGATGTTTGTGGTCTGTGTCTCCATGCGCATATTTGTTACAATTACTCAAAAATATTTTAATGTATTATACATGATTCTGTGTATATCAATTTCTATTTTCAATTGTTTACATTTGTTCTGTTAGCATGTAAACGCTACACAAACATACTTCATACTTAACTAAGACACAACTGTTTACTTAATTATGATCTATATAAACGCAATATTATCAACAGTCCTCTTTGTTCTTGTGGAAAGTATGAAGATGTTTATCATTATTTTTTTGCTTGTACAGAGTATGCAAATGATAGAAACAATCTTTCTAACCACCTGTTCATGCTTGAAGAATTGGTTACAATTGACACTAACCTGCTATTATGGGGTGATAGAGATTTGCCTGTATCAACTAATATTAAAATTTTTGCTGCTGTCCATAGATTTATTACTGAATCATGTAGATTTTAAATTGATTTGTAATTTACTTGCATCACTTGAAAATATTATAAATATCATATTTTAATGTATTATTTGATTGACATATTGTTATATTCATGGAGAGTAACTTGTAAGTTGCAAGAACTTGTTTTCAATCCATTTGACTCGTACAATAAGATATGTTTAAAACAAAAAAACGTATCCCGGTCGGAATTTCCCGTGTCATTTGTGACAAAAATAATGCAACAGAACAACAATAAGCTGTATATTTCAAAACATAATATTTGTACAGGTGGAAAGTTTGCCTCCTAAAATACTTGGAAAGTGCTGCTAGAATCCCGAGTTAAGCATGGTTTTACGAAAAATCTCGGTTCATATATGTAAAATACAAAACATTGGGTAAGGCTACGTGCGAATGTGTGGAATTATTAATTTACTAACAGGAAAGTGGGATTCTAGCAACGGAAAATGATGATTCGATCTACAGTATACAGGAGATAAATTGACAATTGGAAGGTTGAAGTCATCCAGTATTTCAAAATCATTGTTGCTGGGTTGCAATGTCTTTTTTCTAGTAAAATATACAAAAATATAGCAAAGGAATGGTAAAAAAAACTATAAATTGATATTACTAATTCATCGAAATATCTAAATGTCGAGTTGTGGTTTCATCTTTTTTTCATATATATCACGCTATATGAATACAATCTTATAGTAGGATAGGGCGCGATATGGTACTCATGAGAATTCCGACAGATTGTTGAAAGACTTGATCTCAAAATATTGATGCATAGTTATTGTCAATCAGAACCTTAAAAATCTTTTTCGTAAATACCCCGGAATAGTTGTTTATAAAATCAGAATTATGTTTAAAAAATAATTTCGCAAATTGCCATGAACAAGGTATATGAAGAATATTAACGAGTTCAATTTTTATTGAATGATATTGAATCCTAGACTTTTATTCATTATGGGAATGGTATGTAAATGGAGTTGAAAAATCGTACGTTTTGAAGTTATTTGTTTTGGTAAATGTTTTACATTTCAAACGTATTTATCCTCATTATAAGTATAAGTGATAGTTAAATAATAAGAATGAATGATTGATTGATTGTATATTGCTTAACGTCCCACTCAAGATACTTGGTTGTCCGCAATGAGTATTTTTCAAAGAAAATATTCAACCTACAATTCATACATATTTTTTGAGATGTATTTATTTAAGGAGCTAAACGATTCGTGCTAATTTAATTTAAAAAAGAGGAATTTATTTCTTCAAAAACAGATACTGTACAACACTTTTTATTGGCAAGAACTTTATGTGAGCTCGCAAAAAATGTCAATCTAATGTAAAATAGCATTCCTTTAAAACATATCGAGAATTGCAACAAGTTGTCGAAATCGTATCTGGTTAATAAAGAGTCAATGACTATCTCACGAACATTTAGTGATCTACAGTATTCAAACATGACAAATAAAGAATTATAAAGATGATAAAGAATGATATTGCAAATAAAATTATTAATAAGAAAATCATGTTCTTGCGCATCAAATCAACTGAGATACAAACCCTGTACCGTAAAGTCATTTTAATTCCTGGGGTCAATGTTCTTGGGCAAGCAAAATTTTAATTGTTCGCGGGGACGTAATTTCGTCGTTTACTCGTTTGTAAGGTAGACTCAGTTGATCAATATGTCTACAAAAATGTTCGTTGGGATGTAAGTTCATGGGTAAGGGTGACCCACAAATTCCAAGGACACTCAAGAATTGTTTCACTCATATAGAGGCCTCGCCGTGTGTCGGTTAAGCGCTTCACATCTAGACCTATACTCGGCACTCAGGGCTATTGAGCAGTGAGGGGTCTTTTTCGTGTCAACGCTTACCCTGGCACGTGACTACGTTTTGAAATCATATCAGAATGCCAGTGACTTTGACTTGTAGTGCCGAGCGAGCGTTTGGCGAAGGAACAGTCACAACCTATGTTTAGGTTTTATATTTGGCACGGTGTCGCAAACCCAGGCCTTCCGATTACGAAGCAAACGCTCCACCACTACGCTATTGCGATCGGTAATTAGACTTTATGAAATATAAAGTATTTTTAAATAATTATTACATTGTGATTGCCTGTTTATTTCTTTGAATCATAAACTAACGCATACTAGTATTCTAAATCTTTGTCATTTTTCATATTTGTCATAATATGAAGGGACATAAATAATGTAAAACCTAAAGATGATAGTAATGAGTGAAATCAATTCTGAATCTTAAAATGTGCTAACAATATTATTTATCAATTTTACAAAAATGATGACTTAGCAAACTTACCCTCGACATGATACACACAAAAAGTTTCAGCACAAAGTATAAAGTTCTACGATGTTCTCAATGTCATGGGGACACAGAATACTATTGTAACACGTGTAAACATGGCCTGTGTTCTGAGTGTAGAGATAATCATTTTCTGGATCAAAAAACTATATATCATGATGTCGTGATTTACCGAGAAAAATACAAGTACGGACTAAAACATGAGACATCCTGACAGAATTTACGAAAAGTACTGTTACTCCTGTACTCTTCCTATCTGTGTCAAATGTACGAAGGAAACAAAAGACGAAATGATTCCTCAATTTATCCAACTTACAGAACATAGAAAACACCTAATACAGAGTATTGAAAAAATTTATCAAAGAAACCGAAAACGACACAAAAACACAATTCATTTCATCAGAGGTGAGAAACTCTTTAATATTTCTTTTCTGCTAAAAGAAATAAAAGCTGATATAAAATCTTGTCATACAGAAATCTACAACTTTCAATCAGTGATGTCGACAAAAGCTGAGAGAATAAAGTACCTTATTAACACCGTGATATGTAAAAATGAAATCAGACAGAACATTTTAATAAAAATAAATGAAGTACAACAACAACAGAAGAGGAAAATATATAGACATCTTACTATGATAGAGAATTACGAACATAGATTTGATGAGATGGCAAAGAGTCCAATAACTTTCTTTTTATTTCTAAAGAAACCATGTGCTCCGTATAGAAATGTCGCTATTAATAACATAACTCTCTCCTTCACTGGAGAAATTGATATGAAGGATGTGATAAAGTTTATAGGTGCCTAAGTGAAATCAAAATTACAGAAGTAGGAAAAAGAAAAATAAAAAATAAATGTCTGGTAAAACTCTTAACCATACCTGTGTTACAGAAATGTATCTCAATGAGCAGTGTTTCTGATGTAACACATATATCTTGTGTAAAATCTGACCTGCTCTGGATTAGTGATAGAAGTAGTCTGATACTGACAAACACAGACGGTCAAAGACTAAGTCATATACCGGACATAGTTAAGGGTATGTGGGACAAAGGAAAACATACGGTGAATGTATATGGGGATCTTCTTTATATAAACAGGGAATGTAACATCATCAAACTCTCTGCAAATAACAGAACAAAGTCCACGCCGATAAAAAGAGAGTCAGAGACCCCAGTGTGTGTCTTCTGCTCCACCTCAAACGAAGATCTTCTGGTCGGATTTTATTTAGGCAAGGTACACCGTTATGATAAAACAGGCCAACAAATACATACAATTGAACACAACGACAAAGGTCATAGAATGTATAGTGAACCGATGTACATCACAGAGAACCGCAATGGAGATGTCATTGTGTCTGATCGGGATAATGATGTGGTGGTGACAGACAGTGTAGGGCGATACCGGTTCTCCTACACGGGGTCTCCATTAGGACCTCAAATACTACCATACGGTATTTGCACCGACGCTTCGTCGAACATCATTGTGTGTGATTATTTCAACGAAATATTGCAGATTATTGATAAGAATGGTACCTTTACGAGACTTCTCTTGACAGAACAGGAAGTGAGGGGCAAACCATATAGCTTATGTTATGATCACGAGAAAGACCTTATCTATGTTGGATTCTGGCGCAGTAATGATATATTAGTATACGGATGTCGAGAGGGACATGATTATCTAACAGAAAACTAACATTAGTTTTTTTGTCATGTGACACAAAGCGGTGTAGACGTCTCTTTCAGAGCTTCTTTGTTTTTGACATTAAAAGCTCTTATCGGATATTTTCACGGGAATGTGTAAGAATTGTTCCTTCCTGGTGTTTGTATTATATGTGTATATATATTATCCGGATGATATTTAAATCTTTAAAACAATCCATATACCTTTGTTTATATACTTTCGAGAGCGAAATTCACTGATATTCACTTGACTTCTTCATTGTGGACTGTGTCTATATTTTGTCATGGTATAACTATTCAACTAGATAGAACGATCAAACCGTTATACCTGCACAGGCGTCGGAAGCGGGGGAGGGGCTTAACAAGCTACTTTTTTGCAAATGTATACATTATATAAGCATTGAAAATTTGGGTTTTCCTTTTCTTATTGGTTTAGCCCCCCCCCCCTAACCTTTAACCCCCCCTTTTCAATTTGCTTCCAACGCCTATGACCTGAAAAACTCTGACGTACAGTGTTGCAACGATAATCGAGTAACGGACCTCATGCTCATGGAGCGTTTCATTGAAATAATTGGAAATCCTCTCCATTGTATACAACTGGACATGAACTTATGGCGAGTCTAGTTAAAAAGAACAGAAAAGCAGAGAAAATCCTATAAGATGGCATATCACTGCAAACTATATCAGTATCATTTTTGGATACAAATCCATACATTTCAAACAATCATGACCCAAATGTAAATACACTTAAAGTGCGCATTTGCAGATCACCGTTATCTATAGATGAATCTGCGGTTACTGGGCTTTTGGGCAGGCTTAGAGACAAACTGAAAAACAAATAATGTATAAAAAATAAGACACCCTGTGACAAACAAAATCATCAGTGTCCTTAATGGAAAGACATTCATGCACATTGAACCCCTTGAGAATGATACAACGTTGTCTCGTGTTAATTACTACGCTGGTCAAAGGTTTCTTTCGTTTCACTATGGTCAACCTGAATCTTAAAGTGCGCTTTGATATAGAATCCATGGAACAGTTTGTCAAGCTTGTTCCCCTGCGACCCTAATATGTTAAAAATACGAAATTCGAAAGCGGATAAAAGTGACTAAACGTTCAGCACTCTCCTATGTTTGAAACGAACACTGCTTATCATTAAACATATAGTTATAATTTCTTGTTATGTTAAAAAAGTCATTAAAATATATTCAAAATAGAAATGATCTGGTAAGCTTTTCATCAACGATTTTATTTGGGTTTTGTTAGTGCTGTTATGAAACTTCTAAATTGAAATTACTGAATGAGTTAGATTTGATATAAAATAATCTACAAATCTCATGGCAGTGTTACAAAAACCATCATGAAAGTTTGTGCTATATTATAAAATTGCGAAAAGATTTTCGTTAAAATCTGTGTTACATTAACTTATTTGTCTGTAGCTGCCCTTGGTACTCTTTAGCATAATTGGCATCTGATAAGAGAGACATAAGTTCCGAATGTAAGACATTGTGGAATACTACCTTAAAATATAGGAAGATGAGGACGGTAAAGCTGAAGTTATCTTGTTTGTTAAACAACGATAATATACTCTTATTATACACTGACGGTTGAGTAAATAAAGGTATTTCAACTAAAAAATTCTTTAAACCAATTGGTACACGCTGCGTGCCTATCAAAGCAATCTCGGGACAACAATATGGATAATCTGGTAAGTTTACAGCTACATTAATGCCATTAAACTTTTTCTAGATTTTATAGATTTGTACACAATTCACATAAAATTTATGAAGGATATGGAGATAACGAACAGTATTCATGCTCAAATGTCCAATAAACGTTTCAAAAAGAGAGCAGAACAAACATGGACCTCTTAATCATCAGAAGTGAGATCAGGTGCCATGGGAAGAGAGCATCCTCTGCTGACCAGTCACACTCGCCCTGTGCTCGTTGTCAGAATCAGAAAAAACGGGAAAATCTATAAACAATTGAGTGTGTTAAAAAATACCGAATATTTGGTATTAAAAAATCAGTCAGCATTTGACTTAAAGATAGATTATATTTTCCGACAAGGTCTTTGTATCGGCCAAATATCCTACAAAATGATGACTGTAAACGAGACTGCTAATGTCATTGTTTCATCAACTTGTTTGTCAATATTAACTTCGTTTTAGAACTGTTTATACGTAGAGATATACATGTAAACCCCATATGCAGGTGATGAGGATATATTGCTGCAAAAAGAAGGGAAGTTGACGATTGAAAAGTTAAACTCATCGGGTTTATCATAAAGCTTGGTTGTAAGGTTACCAATAAAACCGTTTTCTAGTAATTATACAAACATGAAATAGATGAGTCAGAGATAAGAATGGAAATAACTATTGTTAAAGTTATAAACTTCTCATTATTAGGCACCGTCAGACAGGTATATAAATCTTTCAATTTCGTTACACCCGATTGCAAACTTGAAACTCGTAGCTGACATGTATTTGTCTTAATTTTTAAAGTTTTTTCTTTGTTTTTATGTAAATTTTCTGTTTGCAAAGTATGCATTCCTTTGTAATTTTTTATGATACTTTTCACCTGGTTTCGATGTAATGCACAAAATTTGAAAATATCATCGTAACCGAGTTGTACGTCGATGTAAATCTATTTACTCGTCAGACTTCTACAGCGAAATATATTTAACTGTTAAAAGGTCTGCGACTAGTATAGGCATTGTAGAGGATATAGCGTCAATGAACAGAAAAAGTGGCGGACTATGCATTTTTACTTGTTCAGCTTTAAATAGCAATACGTCGTCAATATATTAGTATTGAAATGTCGACGTGAAGGACACAGCAAGTGTGTTTGTTTTCCTCGTATAAGATTTTGAACAAATTCTGCTCAATAAGAATACAAAACTTAGCTCTGTTTATAATAGGGTGCAATTGGTACCCATGGGAATTCAAATAGATTGTTGGAAAACCTGGTCTCCAAAACCACATCGGTACTGCCAATCAGAAACTCAACATCTTTTGAATGTCATTTCCAGTGTACTTGCGTGTAAAATCGGCTTGCTTTTACCAAAGTAGTTTTGAAAATAAGCAATAAGGTTAGCAGATTTACGAGATCAATTTTTATTAAAAAGCAGATGTTGTTGATGTATAAAAGTCAGGACCCTAATTTTTTGTGATGCATCTATTTTTTGTGTATCACATCGAAAGAAAACGTTAATGGTAACTTAACAACCAAGCCCTATGATAAACGTGATGACTTTAACTTTTCAAGCCCCAACTTCCCATTCTTATCTAACAATATACCTTCGTCACCAGCCTACGGAGTTGATATATCTCAGTTGATTTGATACGCAATAATTTGCTATATATATGAAAAATTTCTAAAATTAATGCAAACAAGTTGATGAAACAAGAATATCAGCAGTCTCTTTTAAATTCATCATGTCGTTAGTTCTATGGTCGATACAATGACCTTGCCTGCAAATACATTTTATCATTAAGTCAAATGCTGACTGATTTATTTCATACTGATTGTAAGTCCATTATTTATGATAAGAATTGACGACGGATTTTCCCGTCATTTCCCAATCATGACAAGGCGCACATTTTGAGTGTGAGCAGTAGGCAAGGGATGCTCACTCCTCCATGGCACCTGGTCCAATCCCCGATGTTTTGGAGGTGCCTCATCATGAGGTACCGGCATGATTTTAACTGACCAATCAGCAGAATCAGTACTGCATTATGGGTTACTACGAATACTACAGGAATTTTTAGCTTGGAAAAGGGATATTGTGTAGTTGTAAATGAAAAACATTTTTAAAAATATTATTTTCATGCTCATAATGACAAACAATTCATTTGTCAAATAAACGATGGAAGTCTGTGTTTCTGAAAGTCATACTGCAAAAGCGAATTGCGTCTTTATTTATTCCTTTTTGTACTATTGGTGAATACAATTGCTAGGTGGATTCCCTGGCCGAACACGTGATCACGAACGTAAACAAAGTTTTGTCCATTTAAATGCATAAGAGATGCTGCTCGTTTTCCTTACCCTTGAAGCGCTGGTGTTCTGAACTAGATACAAACTACATTTTATTAAACGTTTTTTTCAGTTAAGGGGGATGTACGGCCACCTTTAGTGCTGTGAGAACAAGATGTAAACATTTCTTCAAATGGCTAAAATACATCATATTTTGATCAAATTTTAAGTCCTTATGATAAAGATACAATAAATATTCATGACTGAATGCATGTTGTGCATATATAATCTATACTTTTGCAGAAAAATGCTTTTGATATGCTCTTTAGAACTGCGCAGCTACAGAATTCAGCAGAGCCTTAAAAAATCCAAAAAAATATGCAAACTGTGCATCAATGTTCTCTCTACAACCATTTGTTGAGAAAATGTCTAAATTTTGCACTTTTAAATGATAATTTCAAGTTCAAAACAAGGTATCGTTGTCTTCAAAAAGAGTGTAAAGAACCATGAAAGTAGTTCATGGATAGCAGCACGTGGTTTATTTTTAGCACAGTATTTTGTTTTCCAGACCTCTTCTTAATATGGAGGGACATAACAATCTTTAAATGTAAAAGAGAATTACAGTTGCAAAATATTTCAAATAGTATGAACACTTTTAAAAGAGGAAATGTGTTATAGTATGGCTTGAAGTAATTTATTTAGTATTATTATCGAACAGTTGTTAAATAATGTACTTATTGATATCAAAGAAAAAAAATCTTAAACTCTTTGATTCCAGGTAAGGAAATATGAGCACCATCAAAGTTAAGAATTAAGAGTTTGTAAGTTTGCCACAGATAACTTATAATATATATCAAAATTTTAATTATCACCAATGAAACACAAAGAAATTAAACACATAAAATCGATATGAATGACCTACTAGTACGAGGGGTGATCAAAAAGTTCGCGAACTATCTTTATATCTACAAAACCACAATTCAGATTAGAAACAAATTTGGTGCACACATAGCCAAACACAAATTCTATAAAATAGCA